GGAACGCCGTCACACGCAACACCATTGGTCTCCATTTCGCGAGGAGTTCTCATTGAGCTAATTTTGGGCCGCTCTGGGCTGTCTTGGCCTCCTGTGGGGCAGCCTTGGGGCCGTCGTTCAGCCCTCTTGGGCTTTGAACTCTTACGCCTGCTTGAGGCCCTCTCTTGCGCCTTCCTGAGGTTCTCGTGGCAGTGCGGGCACTGTCTGGGAACCATCCTGGAACGTCCACGGGCTTCTTAAGGCCGTGTTGCGTCCTGTGGAGGTCTTCCTGGGCCGTCTTGGGGCCGTGCTGGATGCTTCCTGAGCCGTCGCGGAGTTCTCGTGGGCGATGTCGTGTGCCCCCCTGAGGCCGTGCTGGGGCCAGATGGGAGGCTTCTTGAGCTGTCTCGAGCTGACGGAAGTCCGAACAGGCGTGAATGCGAACATCCGCGCAATAATTGAGGATACTCAATGGTTTGTCTTCTTGTTCTAACTTTTTTTTATTGGACCCTGTCGGAGGCATGTTGGGCGTCTTGAGACCATCTTGGGCCTCCGTGGTACCATCTTGGGTCGCATTCGAGGCATATTGGGCCATTCTGGCGGCCTTGGTCGCCTGCCTTGGCCGTCTTGAAGGCTCGGGGCACGAGCCCATCGCATTGAGCGAAGGATCGCGGCCCCGGGGCCGCATTTTCTGCGTGGGATCGCGGCCTCGAGAGGGGGGGCGGCGCGTGCGATGCTCTACGAGAGGGGGGGGGCCCTTAGCAAACTAGGGCGCGTCGGCGCACCAGGATCTACACATACATGCATATATGCACGCTTACACGCATGAATGACTGCATACGTGCATGCAGACGCACACGCACACACTCGTGCACCACCGTGCATGTGTGCCCTCTTCCCTGCCTGACGTCTGTGGCCATTTGGGCTTGGGCCCTCGGCCGTTTCCGAATGACGGCTGGGCACTGCTGCTAGCCCTTGGGCGGGCGCCTTCGAACAGCGCCGTGGCAGAGCGATAAGTCCATCCTCTTCGGCGCCCGCCATGCCGTCGCGCAGGAGGAAGGCGGAGGGGGCCGTGGCGGCGGGCCGCGGAGGGGGGTCGAGAGCGCGCGGCAGCGCTCCGCACGAGCCTTTAGGGTGGGGACCAGGCCGCGGGGCGGGGCACCGCGGTGAGAGGTCGGGGGCGCGCGGCAGCGTTCCGCGCGACCCTCTGGGACGGGAGCCAAGCCGTCAGGCTGGCAGGGCCCCTTTCTCGTCGAGCTCGCAATCGGGCGAGGGGGGCTGGGAAGAGGTCCGTGGAAGACGCGTGGTCTTTGAGATCACCGGGCATATGAGGTTGTCGCCCTTGTTCGAGGAGGCCGACGGCGCGCGCAAGTTTGCTGGCGGCCACGTGTCCGTGATCGACCTGGCTACGCGCTACTAGTGCGAGCAAGAGCACGGTTTTGTATCGCTCTTCGTTTTGGCCGACGAGAGCGGTGAGGCTCCGTGGTTCCAGGGCATCAGTTCATTTGTCGCGCGCGAGTGCGCCGCCAAGGCCATGGGCGGCGAGTGCCCAGGGGCGCTCGTCAACATAATCCCAGATCCATTGCGCCCGCGAGAGAAGCAGCGCGGGCGATGAGGACTACCAGCCTGGGCTGGGGGCCGACAGCCTGGAGGCCGAATGGTCCAGTCTGAGGGAGATGCAGAATAAGGAGTCGCCTTGGCAGCAGATCAGGTCCATCGAGCGCGCCATAGAGGCGGATGGCAGAAAGAGCACGGACGGCCCAGTGGCCCCGAACGTCTGGCTGAAGGATATTTACGGGGCGGCCCTGAAGGACGAGCGGTTAGGGGCCGCGGCAGACTTCGCCATCGCCCTCTAAAGATAACCGCGGAGCTAGCCACATCGTGCACGTGTGCCCGCGCTGCGAAACGGCCCCCCGCAAGCCGAAGGAGCGGCCGCCTTGCGCGTCGCCGACGCGGGTGAACGAGCCAGGGGTCGCCGCTTTCGGAGGCCATTGGAGTTGACCGATCAAGAAGCGCAGCCGCAGGTGGTCATCGAGGGGCGTGGGCGCGCGGGCGCACGGCGCCATCATCTTCCAGTCGCGCTCCACCGCCGCGAAGGGCGGCGCGGAGATGGCCGGCGACCGGGGGGGGGGGCGCGCGGGGCAGTCCGAGGAGCGCAGCCCAATGGGCCAGGCAGAGATGATCCATGTCGGCCAGGGGGCACCGCAGCAGGGGGGGCGCCCCATCGATCCTGCGGACGGCCGAGCCGGCGACCGTCATCAACGGCACGAGAAGGCTGCGCATCAGATTGGACGGGCTGTTGGAGAATGATGTTGGCGTAGTCATGGGCGCCGTCGACTCAGGCAGCGAGCGGGGCCGCGAGGAGGTCGCCCAGCGCGCGCCTGCTTCTCCAGGGGGCAGGATCGCGGAGGGCGCGCCCGGGGACTTGAGCGCCCGCTGCGATTGCGATGACGGGCGCCTCTCTTAGGGCGAGTTCACGGGCGAATTGCGCGCCCCCCGACCCCCTCAACTCCAAGAGCGGTTCCACCTTGGGCGAAGCAGGGCGCGACGCGACAGGGCGATCGACCCCTTGCCCCCGCGCTTCGACGTCTCCGGCCCAGCGGGCTCAGGGCCCGAGCCGGGGGAAGGGGCGGTTCGCGAAGACTTGATCGAGCGCAACGGCATGCTGTGATCTGAGAGTCGGCGGGGCCCCAGCGAGGCGTTCTGGCGACGGCGGCGGCGGCCCCCCGGACGGCTGATCAGACTGGGCGCAGCCGCCGCGCGGGAAGAATGGCCGCCAGGCAGCCGAGGGCGGCGGGCCGCCGGGCGGCGACGGCGCGCCGCGGCACCGACTTGCCGCGAGGTTCGGGCGGCGCAGCGCAAGCGCTTGCACCCGCAGCGCGTGGCTCCGAGCGCGGGGGCAACGCGACAGACGGCCGCCGCTGGGCCCGGGGCAGGCCGAGCGCGGCAGTCGCCTCGCGCCCGGGAATAGGCGGGCCGCGCGCGGCCGAGAGAATCTACGGCGCGTTTGTTTTTCCCGTCTGGCAGGGCTCCAGGGGGGGGGCGCGCCTGCGAGGTGGCCGCGAACCCCCCGCCGACCGATGGTCGCCCTCTCGCATCGACGGCGCCTGTCCGGCCGCGGGCCCCCGCCTGCCGCCGCTGGCGGAAGGGGGAGGGGGGGGGCCGTCGGGGGGCGTGCCGGGTTCCGGGTTCGCGCCAGCGCGGGTTTCTTCTTCTTCTTCTTCTTATTCTTATTATTATTCGTATTATTATATTTATTATTCTTATCATTCTTATTACTTTTTATTGTTTCTTCTTCTTGTTATTATTATTCTAATTCTTATAATTATTCATCTTCTTCTTAATTTATTTGTATTCTTATTATTATCCTTATTATTATTCTTCTTATTTTTATTTTTTCTGTTTCTTATTATGTGTCTTATTCCTCTTATTATTATGATTCTTATTTGTTCTGTCTGATTGTCGCGCGATCGAGACCGTCGGTCCGTCGCGAAACCCTGGCCCGGGCCCCTCGCTCGCGCTTGCCCGCGGGCCTCCTGGACGGGCCCGAACCCGAACCGCCGTCGCCAGTTGGTTCTCTCCCGCGCGAAGGCGCCCGCCCGCTCGCGCGACCCGCCCCGCCGCCGCGGGCGCCTGGCGGGGGGCGTGCCTTTGCGATGGGGGCTCTTATAGGAAACGGCCAGGGATTCGGGGCCGCGCTGTCCCCTTGCGGCGCGCCGAGAGGCGGGCGTCCTCCCGCGGCGAAGGCGCCCGCCCGTTCGCGCGCCCCCCACCTTTTCCGCCGCGGGCGGGGGGGGTGCTCGACGGGGGGCGCGCGCTCGCGCGGGAGGGGGGCCCTGTTGGAGGCGGGCAGGGGTTCGGGGCCGCACTCGCTTCGCATCCGCCCTGTCGTGGTACGATCGGGGCCGTGGGTCCTCGCGCTCCTTTGGGCGGCTCGCGGCTCGGGGGCCGAGGCCGCGCGGGCCTCTGGCGAGGTCCGTCTGGGCGCGCCTCGCAGGCCGTCCCCCTCGAAGCGCCTTGGCCTAGCAGCGGGCCTCGCAGGCCTTCGCGCGCGGCGCAGCCGCGGGCCCGCGCGGCGGGGCGGCCCTCCAGCTTCCCGCAGCGGTTCTCCGCGGGGGGCGGCGGGAGCGCGGGCGTCCTATTCGCCGGGGGAGGCAGCGCGAAAACGCCGGGGGGGGGCCACGGGCTTCGAGCTGATCGAATGCAGCCCAGGCAGGCGGGCGCGGGCCCAGGTCGCGAGGGGGGCCCGCAGGCTTGCTTTCAAACGCGAGTGCCAGGCATCATTGTGTCTCCACTTCGTAAAGATCCAGGACCAACCCGCTCGGGAGGGCGCCCGGCCCGCCCAACTCGCGCCCTCCAGGGCTGGGCAGCGCCGTCGGAAGAAGGCGCGGCGGGCGGAGATCGCGCGGCCTCGGGGAGGCAGGCAGGCGCTGCCGACCGCGGCGGTCGGCAATCTTGGGCCAAGTCCCCCCCCCCAGCTTCGAGAGAACATGCGCCTCGTTCGTCGCCCGAAGAGACGGGGCCCAGCATCGGCGGCACACCCACAACCACCATGGGGCACCAAGTTCCTGGGGCCCTGCGTACGGAGCACCCTGCACCGCCACCCATAAACATGTAATCGCGTCCACCGCACTGTTCCCCCCTTTGTTGCCGTTATCTCACCTTTTTTAGGGGTTCACCGCGGGTACACATACATACTTACTTACACACATACGTACATATATACACAGGCGGAGAGAGAGAGAGAGATAGAGAGAGAGAGCGAAAGAGAGAGAGAGAGAGGAAACGAGAGAGAGAGAGAGAGAAAGACAGACATACAGGCAGACAGGCAGACAGACAGACAGACAGAGACAGAAAGAGAGACAGACAGACAGACAGACAGACAGACAGACA